CACTGTATCTGCACAAAATATGAAACAGGAACTGCTATTTACAGGAAAAGTGGGTGAGGTCTAGGAAGTGTAAGTCACTTGCTTAAGAACATATAGACAATAAATACTGAGAGGAAATTTGAACCCCCATTGGTAGAACTCAGAAAACATTTTTAGTTGGGAATGTGCATATTTAAAAGTGTAAGATGGCCGGGAGCGGTGGCTCAAGCCTGTAATCCCAGCACTTTGGGAGGCCAAGGAGGGTGGATCACGAGGTCAAGAGATCGAGACCATCCTGGTCAACATGGTGAAACCCCGTCTCTACTAAAAATACAAAACATTAGCTGGGCATGGTGGTGCGTGCCTGTAATCCCAGCTACTCAGGAGGCTGAGGCAGGAGAATTGCCTGAACCCAGGAGGCGGAGGTTGCGGTGAGCCGAGATCGCGCCATTGCACTCCAGCCTGGGTAACAAGAGCGAAACTCCGTCCCAAAAAAAAAAAAAAAAAAGTGTAAGACTAGCTAAATGTTTATAACTTGTTTGGTTTCTTGAAAGATTTTCAAAAGCATTATTTTGGGTGATTATTTACATACATTCAAACTGTAAATAGAGGTATATAACCATAGACAAACTTAGAAATTATAGACTTTATCAAAAATGGCGGCTTTTCTCATAGTTTTGTCTTCTTTCCCTAAATAATTATCTGCTGCACAAAAATAGATATGAAGGCAGTTACTTGGTTATTCATGCTAAAAATCCATAACAGAATTTTTAATGAGAAACACATATATTGAAATTATTAAATATCACAAATCCTAAGGTTTAACTGCAGCGTAATTCTGAAGCAGGAAGAAGCGTTCCTGAGACAGTAGATTCAGCCACAATAGCCTCAGCTTTCCTTACCTGGTGCCCTCTACTTGAAGATTGTTTTCACAAAAGGATGGACACGTAGTATCGACGCTAACTGTGCTGCTAATGAAGAAATTGACAGGCACAGCTTAGTTTTGATCATAAGCCCATTTTAATTTCTCCTAAGAGAAAAAATAATGAACGTAAGTGGCCACGAGCTTTGTAGAGGGCATCTAAGCAGACTGTGATGTTGAGGCTCCCCTTTGCCTTTCCTGGAGGTTGCCTCTAGGCCAGACGTTAAGATTTAAAATGACATAACATGACCTCATGAATAATTTGAGGTCTAACTTTGTGAACTTCAATGACAAAGTTTCATCGAGTTCCGCAGAATGAAAGCCAGATGTAAGTAATTTACATTGTAGTCATATTTAAAAGGAGGCAATAAAGGGAGAAACACCACCTGGAAGGTTAAGCTCAACAGTAGCCATGTAATGGGCAGTTAGCATCCATATAGGTCACCTGCCTCTTTAAAATGTTTGACACTTCCAGTGGACAGCAGCGATTCTCTCTCTACAAATTGTTTATGAAACACAAGCTCTGAGAAAACCACAAGTTGTGTTGAGATGAGGGGACTATCCGAGAGTCTGGAATTTATCAGTGTCTAGGGAAGAGTTTGGGTGCAATTAATTTTGTTTTATGTGGTATTTTTTTCTTAGTAAACAGCAACTTTTATGTACTTACCTCAAGATACTTAATGTTTTACCCTACCTTTAAAGCATTTTAGGTCTTAGGATCTGGAAGAAATAAAGTATTGATTTGCTTCTGTGACACATGTGACTGGTTATAACGGGTTCCTTATATGTAGAATGAGTGGTTTGTATTAGTTGCTTATTAAACTCTGTTCTGATTCTGAAATTCACACATGCTGTGAAGACATTATACACATGTGAAAAGAGGGATTATTCATGTTGCTTCTTCCATCATTATCACATGAGGGATTCTCTCACGTCTTTGAAATTGCTACATGGAGAGACTGGTAAATCCAGCAGGGCAAGGCATTGGCTGGTATAATTCAGAGGAAAGCAAATTTGAAAAGCTCATCTCTGGTTAGTATGAGTTAGCGGCTTTCTCCTGCACTCTTATTTTCTCCAATTGAAATAGAATTTCTTTGCGGATTTTTTTATATTGCTTCAACATCGAAGGGCATGGACAGGAACAGCACATCTAAGCCAGTGAGGATTGCCTTCCAATTCTTTAGATGGCTATTTTAAAAGTTATTTCTAAAGGAAATATCTAATTTTGTATCTTCCGGTTACTTATGAAAAAATTTTAAAGTTTACATTTGGCACTTACGCCTCAACTTAGGACAGATTTTGAAAGTGGGATGTGGAAAGCTATTCTCTCATGAACCTGTGGAAGTGAAGTAAGGAGATCTCCCTCAACTCCAAGATGAAAAAATGTCCCCAAGACCTTAGGAGAAAAGGACATAGCCACAAAACAGAAATTCCCTCCCCTTCTCCAGGTTAGCTCTTACGTGGATCAATGGCTCTGAAAGTTTACGTAGAAGACTGCAGGCATCACAAAGAAACAGTGTTTGAAGAGTAAGTTAACCAAGTTTGAAGATGTAAAAAATGAATAAATGTAATCTAAATAAGATACCACCAGGACACAAAGGAATGATTTCCGACAGATTGTATCATGCCCGAGGAAAGAGCATATTCAGATAAACATTCCTATTTTAGGTTTTAGTGGTGGAAATGTCCGAATTTTTAAGAAGCAAAATAATGACCAAAAGCTAATTAAAAGGGAAGGAAAACAATCAAAAAGTGAGATGAGAGAATTTTATTTTTGGAGCACTATCAATAGGTATTTTTCAAGAAGAGATTTGCAGTTTTTTTAATAGGATCAGGCATCAGCAATCATTTTGTTAAAAGAGAAGTGGGCGGGAAATATTTCTCCTAGATTTGGATACAGATAAATTGTCTTTCCTGATAATTTACTTCCACTCTTGTAGGAGAGTATAGCGCTTTACAAGGACTTATAAAAAAAGTTGGACTTAGTCTCAGAATTGTGTCATGTAATATACCCTATATGTTTACTTCTTAATTAAATTTTCTCATTTCAAACTATTAACATAGAGACAGTTTGTCTTTAACAATGCAAATAGCCTACAGAAGATAATGCATATATGTTTATTAGCACTATTTACAGTCCTTGAGATGATACAACAGATATTTAAGGGAAAGTGTTGGTCTACATTGGCAAAACTAAAACATATATTAGGCACTTTTCATAAGCAGAACAAAAGGCTTTTCCAATTTTATCTTTCTTCTTCCTTTCTTTCTTCCCTCCTTTCTTCGTTTCCTTTATAGCTTAAATGCTTATAACTGTCTTTTAAAGTAATTCATTGGTTTATCTGTACTATAAAAGCTTTCACACGCTTTCTTTTGCACATTTTTAAGCTTATTTTTATTGTACTTTTATAGTTAGAGGGATCAAGTTCTTCTTTATAAGTTGAAATGCTTTGCTAAATTAATTTAGAACTCCTCTTACTTAAAATGAATGCCCTTTTTATTGAGAACTGCTTTAACAGCAGATAACCTTGAAGTCAGGTCGTTTCCATGACATATTATATCCATGTTTATGCTAAAGGTTGAAATAAAGCCAAAATCGTGTGAGCACATTGAAAACATCCTCTTAGGCATAACATTTAGAGCATATACAAGGTTCTGCTGTTTGTTTTCCAAGTGATGTTTAGTATGGTTCAGGTGTTATTAACTAGGATTATGTTTCTGTGCTCTGAACTAATTGTCCGTGAATGTTTGAACACAAAGAGATTTCTTTTCTTAGAATGATAAACTTCAAAATTGTTTGCTAAATATAAGGAGGATACACAGTCTGGTTGGCCTAAACATGAACAGATATAAAATATCTCCCATGATTGTCTCCAAATCTCATATTCTGTCCCTACTCACAGTGAAAAATATATTTTCAGAAAATAAATAATATTGTTATGAAGTTATTGTGTCTTTAGTTTTCTGAGCTTTAAGTTATTGCTGCATTCAGCAATAGAAGATAAGTGATTTAAAATGCAACAGCTATGTTACAGGGTTTTGTTTTGTTTTTTTTCTGGCTAGTAAAGGCATTAGCCAACTACACATTCTTTATCTGTAAAATGAAAATACATACACTGCATTGGCTCCCTGATAGCATTGTTAAGACTAATTCCTGTTTCCAGCTAATACTGAAAATTTGTGGTATAGTTGCATAGAAATAATAATGGGAATAAAAAACGTGTACTCATCTTAGATGGCAAATGCTATTAATTTTGTTAAAAAGATTTGAGCCCACTAATAGTTGGGTTGCATAAGGATAGAGTCTTTAACAGAATATACATTGTTATTTCAGTTCTTAATAAAGAATAGCATATGCATCTCAAATGTTCACCAAGGCAGATAAGTAGATTTGTTCCACATTCTGAAACTTACTGTAATATGTTTTGTGTGTCGAAAATAATATTCTTTATTCACTTAGTTCCAGAGAACATTACATAATTATTGTGCTATGCAAAAGAAAAGCAAATAAACAAAACAAACCACATAATGAAGACCTTAATGGTATTTAAAACCCCTCCCCCACTCCAAAATACAAGGAAGAGGAAGGAAAAGAAGGCAGGAAGCATATAATTTTTTTTAAGTAAATATAGCATGGTGGGCTTTTCTTTCGAGAAAATTCCCTCAATACGTGACTTTGTGGACTTTCTCTGTTTTCCGTCTGCCAGCTGGAGCGACATGGCTCCTGCACGAGCTGCTTGCACTGAAGGCTGCTGAGCGAGACATTCGCGTGACATCGTCGCCGCGATGCTCCGGGCTGGGGCAGTTGTGACTGGTTACGCGGCGTTTCCCTCCAGGGCCGCTCTCCCCCGTCCCAGCGCCCCGGTCCTCGGGAATGCCCAGCTCCGTCCCGCGGCCTCGCGCTCCGAGCCCCCGCCGTGCCGTCCTCCTCGGCTCCGGCGACCCGGTCCGCCGCGGCTGAAACACACCCGCTGGGCGAGCGGAGCGGAGCGGCGCGGAAAGCCCCCTCCGCCCCGCCGCCGAGCCCTGCGCCCTCCGCGGCCGCCCTGCGCGGGCTCCCGGGCGGGGCGCTGTCCAGCGCGCACAGAGTTAAAGGCATCATCGCAGCCATTAGAGGGAAAAGTTGCGGCGCGGCGAGCCCGGCGAGGTCCTCCGCCCGCCCCTTGCCCACTCCCCACTTCCCGAGCCGGCTCCGCGCCGAGGGAGGGCGGTGATCACGCCAGCCGGAGCGGCGGGCTGACGTGGGACGGGCTGCCAGGTACTGGAGGCAGCAGCCAGGCGGCGCCGCGCTCCTTCCTTCCGCGCGATCCCAGCCCGCGCGGCGCCGGGAGCCTCGCCGAGCCCCAGCCGGGGGTTCGGAGCCTCCGGAACCGCGGCCCTTCTCTCGCAGCACCCTCGCCGAGGCGGCGGCAGCATGCGCGCAGCGGCGCGCCCGGGGCTCTGAGCAGAGCCTGCCACCCACTCGCACGCCTTTCTTCCGGGGCTTTTCGGCGGCTGGCCACACTGATGTGACCCCCCTCCCTTTTTGGAATGATGGGGATCTTTTTGGCGTATGTTGGATTTGTTTTCTTTTCCGTTTTATGTGTACAGCAAGGGCTTTCTTCTCAAGGTAAGTCTGTGCTCAATGGCAAATATACATTTGCTTGCGCGTGTGTGTGTGTGCGTTTCCTACACTCAAAAAGAATGGGCAGGCGGATGTAATAAGCTTCCTAGCAAATACCAGTGGGCTAAGGCTGTATAAACAGCGTTCTGTTTGACGATTTTCTTTAAAGTTTATTAAACTGTAGACAAGGTAGGCTGGAGAGAAAATCTAGCTGGTGCCTGACAATGAGGTGGGCTCCCACTGAGCACAAACACAGGGTCTTGTGTGTGTGTGTGTGTGCGTGTGTGTGTGTCTGTCTGTACTTTCTATCTGTGTGCATGCACAGGGTAGCCACTCATGCATACATAATCAGCGCAAACAAACGCGGGGCTGGATATGGGGACCCTCCATTGCCAGTCTCTCTTCCTTGTGTAGGCAGACTGGGCTTAGAGTTTCCCTTTTCTAGGTCCGTGTGACTCCTTTTGTATGTGTGTTTATCAAAGGACAGGCTCCTCTGAGGACCCATAAAAAGGCACAACTTGCATGACAAGCAGCAGCAGCCTGGCGAACCCGATTGTTCAGGACTTCGCAGGCTGCGGCGGTGGTTTCAGCACCATGAACAGATCACATCTCTGCTGCCAGAAGACTGCATCACTGCTGCAAGCAGAAATGCCATACCCCTTCTTCTGCCAGCTACGACAGAAAAGTCGTTTTCAAATCAGAACGTCTCCTTAATAGCTTCCCTGTTTTCGGTATAAATGTAGTTTCATTTCACTAGAGATGATTTTTAAGATTTCATAAATTGTTGAAAAGAGACCATGTCTCTCTTTAAAAGGCGGGGTGGGGTGGGGGGGAGTGCAGCCACCCCAAATCATTTCTGCAGTCCCCACAGCCCTCCTCTCCATACGTGTGCATTGTGGTTGTGCACTTCCATTGGCAACAAATCTTTCCAGGACTACTTTTAGGGAACCATCAGCTCTTTGCAAAGTGCCCCTTAGACAAGATAAGAACAACCCTGTTGGTAACAAGATAACAGTATTTCATGTTCAAGAAATGCCTTTCGGAGGAAAGAAACATTATATGTTTGTGAGTTTCACCACGGTTCCATGAATCTGGTAAACTAGCAGTGTCAAGGTTGGTAATGAAAAGGCTGAGAAACATTTCCATAGTGACTTCTAAATAATATTTAATGTGAACTAAGCCTGGATGTGTGATCCTTACATCTTAAGATGTGTGGCAATTCAAAATACAGTGACTTGATGGGAAAAATACAGGTTAATTTGGAAACATACACAGTTTATAAAGTGTGCAACTTGCTTCACTGATGCAGGCGCGTTTCGCTGGTGTTGCTAATAACTGTTTTTGATGAATCAGGAATGTGCATTTTGACAGATAATCATGATCCACTCTGTTACATGAAACATCCAGTTGGTCGTAGATTGTTTAGAAACTTAGAGGCAAGAGGCTCTCCTCATTTATCAACTTGACAGATTGTCTAAATTGTATCTCACTGAATCTCTCGTAAATTTTGCGGAATTCTACAATCTGACAAAAGGTATTTGGATCTACCTGCGGGGCTCTTGGCTAAGAGAGTTATTGGCAAACTTGTTAACCTTTCCATTATCTGGATTTGATCAACGACATAGTGATTTAGGTATGACACCAAAAGTTAGACAGGAAAGAGGCAAAGGAATGGGCCTCGGGGAGCCAGACTAAGCCGAGGATGTCAGAGAGGGCTTTTGTTGCTATTTAAGTTCAGGGAAAATGTGGCGAGCTCTCAAGGAAAGAGACGCTGGCAAGAGGGGTGTGGATATTCCAAAAGGATGCCTTTCTGTTTTGCAGCAAAATTTACCGAGTTTCCGCGGAACGTGACGGCGACCGAGGGGCAGAATGTGGAGATGTCCTGCGCCTTCCAGAGCGGCTCCGCCTCGGTGTACCTGGAGATCCAGTGGTGGTTCCTGAGGGGCCCGGAAGACCTGGAACCCGGGGCCGAGGGGGCCGGCGCGCAGGTAGCGGAGCCCGCAGACCCCGCGTCTCCCCTTCGCTTGCCCGGTCCTAGGGGTGTCCAGCACGGGACTGGGGGCCGAGGTGCTGCGAGGGCACCCCTGGGAACCCGACCGGTTCTGTGGGAGCGAGCGACCCCCAGGGCTTCCAGGGAGGGAGCGAGAATTTGTCCCGGGGACGCTAAGTTAAAACCCAGAAGGAAGTCCTGCTGCCCAGTCTCCTCCAGTTAAACTGGGAAGCGCCTCCTCCCCTAAGTTCTGGTTCTCAGGAAGATGCCCGCCTTGCTTCTACCGCGCTGCCACGTGCCGGGACGTCCGCGAGCCCAGTTTCCGGACGCAGAGATGGGGAGGGGAATCGATGGGCGGCCTCCACCCCCCTGTCCCACCCCCACTGCCTTCTCGGGGCACCAGGCACTATAGGGGACTCCAGCCCCCGGACTGAACGCCCAGAGGACCAGGGCGGCCAGCCAGCTCCTCTCACCTCCACCTCTAACAGTTCCGTGGGATGGGGTGGGGGGAGACTGGGAGAGAGGGAGAAGAAGTAAAGGAGGGCGAAGAGGGGAGGAGGGGGGAGAAGGGGGGAAGGGAGGAGGGAGAGAAGGAAGTGGGAGACCCGGAGAGGGAGAGAGAAGGAGAAAGAAGGGGGAGAGGGAATGGGTGGAGGGAGAGAGAGAAAGGAAGGAGAGGAGGAGGGGAGAAAGGACTGGAGTGGGAAGGGGAGAAGGATGGGGGAGAGGGAGAAGGGGGAGAGAGGGAAGGGGAGGGGGAAGGGGGTGGGAAAGAGGGAAGGAGGAGGCGAGGGGGAAGAGAGAGTGGAGGGGAAAGAAGGAGAAAGGGAAGGGATAAAGCGGAGAGAGGGAAGGGAAAGAGAAAGGAGAAGAGAGGAAGAAACGCAAGGGGGAAAGAGGGAGGGGTGAGGAGGAGGGGGGAAGGAGGGGAGGGAGAACTAGAGTGGGAAAGGGAGAAGGAGAGGGGAGACAGGGAAGAGGAGGGAGAAGGGGGTGGGAGAGAAGGGGAGAGAGAGAATGGGAGGGAGAAGCCGGGAGGAAGAGAGGGAGCAGGAGGGAGAAAGGAAGGGAGAGGGCGAGGGAGAGAAAGGGGATTGGGAGGGAGAGAGAAGTGAGAGAGGGGAAAGAGGAAAAGAAGGAGGGAGAGGAGAGAGGAGGAATAGAGAAGGGGGAGGGAGGGGAGAGAGGAGGAATAGAGAAGGGGG